TAGAATTGACACCCTGCGTATGTCCGGACTTATACGTAGACACCCTGTATATGTATTAATGGTGATTTCTGGATTGATAATATTGAACATTATCTTTGAATTAAATAGTGACTGGATTTGGTTTAATTGCTATTTTAATTATATTTAAAAATGGATGCAATTACAAGGTTTTTCACCGCGACAAGGTACCAGTCTAAGAAAAGGTTTTTTGTGTTTTTTTAAATATTTTTTGTTTTTCCAACAATGTATGTATTTCGCTGATTAAGTAGTATAGATTCTATTTTAGCATTAAATGTATTTATTTGTTAATAACAATTTGTTATTAACTATAAAATGTTATTAACACATGCAATGAACTTAATTCAAGACATTTTTTTTACAACAGATTCACATAGATAGCTTTTTTTGATCCTGAGTATTCCCCTTAACTATCTGCATGAAAATACATATAGTATTATATTATTAATATCTTTTCAATACGCAAAAATAGGCAAACGGGGTTCGTTTCTTCATTTTAAAGATACTTTAAGGAAAAATTTACCCTAGTCTCGTTCAGACATAATCAGACAAACATATTAAATACATATATGTATTTATTATTAATATATTAATACACTGGTCAAATAATAAACTTGAAAATAATTATTATACATGTTTCAAATAAATATTGAAAATTTTATGATCGATACAGTGTATACAGAGCTATATAAGGAAATGTTTTGATAATTTTACATGCAGCTCTAGCTGTGTACGAGGAGTTTGAACAGACACATAAATATTACTGAAATATAAATATCAACTTGTATTTAATAACTTTTAACTCATTTTATTTGTTTTTCATAAACTTTAGGGTATCTAGAGACGCGGTAGCGTCTCGACGCCAAGTACATGAAAAAATAGCCTCCCCGTATATGCCTGGCGCTGGCGCTACCGCGTATCTTTTACTCGAGAAAACGCGATTCCAACCTAACCCAAAACTTCTGTCATTAATATCTCGTCACGCCTGCTGTATTTTCTAAATCTAAAGGCATTTTTCTAATGTAAATCGCATATAAGCTTTCTAATAAAACCAAAATCAATAAAATCGGTCTATGTACAACTGAAATATCGTAATATCATGTCATGAATCGGTCAGAAATTGTAGATTTTTCTTCTGATTCTGATTCTTATTCTTATTCTTATTCTTATTCTTTTCGTCAACACTTAGCCAATAGGAACTAAGGCCATTCGCCGATTCGTCGACTCTCGGAATCAGTCGGTAAGAGCTCTTTCACACGACGATACGCGTATGCAGAATACCGATGGTACACATAATGTTATGGAAGCGTTCAGACGGCGATTCTCGCGAGATACAGTATCGCGATACTGATTTTCGGTATCCGCGGTTGGTCGGCCGCCGGCAACTTTTTCTGCGTCGGGGCGGCCGACGAAACATTGAAATAGATGCGAGCATTCACGCGACGCTGCGCAGTATCGTCGAATTCGTTCACCTTCCTCATAAAAAAATTTCAGACATAATAATTGAAGAATTTACATGAATCGTCACAAAGTTCTTCGAATAAAATATGAAAAGCTCCC